AACACCGTCAATAATGTTTGTCCTTCCCCTGTGCAAGGAGGGCAGGGCCAGCTGTTCAGCTTTGAATGTCCTCAGTCTACTTTTTCTTTTAACTCTTTATTTCCTGGTACCGAGTGTTCCTAAGTCTACCAACAACGAGAATCATAATCCAAACCACATACATCAGTAGAAGGATCTTCAGAAGAAAACAGGAAAAAACAAACAAACAAAAAGCCCAGCCAGTTGCAGGCACAGCTTGCTGAGGGCTCTTCAGATATTTGGTAGGCCTATAATTTTTTTTAATTAAAATTAAGTTTGGGGGCGCCTGGAGGGCTCAGTCGGTTAAGCGTCTGACTTTGGCTCAGGTCAAGATCTCACGGTTCGTGGGTTCGAGCCCCGTGTCGGGCTCTGTGCTGACAGCCTGGAGCCTGTTTCGGATCCTGTGTCTCCCTCTCTCTCTGCCCCTCCCCCACTCACACTATGTCTCTGTCTCTCAAAAAATGAATAAACGTTAAACAAATTTTTTTGAATAAAGTTTTAAAAATGTTTTCACAGATATAAGATGGAATGTGATTGGTGAATAATAACAGCTCTAAGAATTTTCTTTTACCATCAACCAAAATAGCAGAGATCTCTCTGTGGTGTTTCCGTGGCATCCCTGGTCCCCGGCACAACAGTCATCCAACCTGGCAGCCAGGTATCTCTCCACCTGGTGACGTGCAGGCTGGAAGCGAGGCGGAGAACACACGCCGAGAATGCTCATTTTCACCTGCTTTCCAAACAAAAGGATACAAGAGGCTACTTATTCCCACACGCTCCTCGCTGGTGAAGAAAGTGTTACATCAAAACCTCTTCTAGAGGACGGATGGTGACTAACGCTTATTGTGGTGACCATTTCACCACATATGTAAGCAAAGTCAACGTGTACACCTTATGCTTCTACAGTGATGCATATCCGTTTTACCTTAATAAAACTGGAGGGGAAATTCTCCTAAAGACCTAAGAGAAAAAGCACACCATAAGGAAAAGGTAGAAATCACACTCTCCGTCACTGTTCACACCTCGGTAACCACACCTGTTGTGGCCAGGGCCATGCCGCGGACCCGCATCCGGAACTGGGGGCTATATGCTGAAGGAGGTAGGCACAGTTTATTCCCATAATCCCTCCCCCTCCCACTTGCTGTTTTAAATTTTTCTTTAATGTTTACTTATTTTTGAAGGAGAGAGATATAGAGTGTGAGCCGGGAGGGGGAGAGAGAGAGACACAGAATTCGCAGCAGGCTCCAGGCTCCGAGCTGTCAGCACAGAGCCCGACGTGGGGCTTGAACTCACAGACTGCGAGATCATGACCTGAGCTGAAGTCAGACGCTTAACAGACTGAGCCACCCAGGCACTCCCTCCACTTTTAACAGTATAATATCAACTTGTAAACGTGAAACGTCTGTGGAGACACAGGGCATTATGTGGGGTATATAACACATGTACACACGCACACTTGAGAGGGGCTCAGTGGCAAACACTTCTTTAGAATCCGTCTGGCATACTCTCCAACCCCCGCGATGCCACTGCTCTTTCGTGCGAGTGACCACAAACAGTGGATCTGAATTCAGCACGTTTCAAGGTCAAATGATGCAGCAAACAGAATTTGACCTCACACAATATGCCTTTGTCCGTTCGCCATCCATGTAAATGTGTGCACACACTGCTGCAAGTTCATAAATCTTTACCCCAGATTACTCGCTTCTTCATCTAATGCCTACGGAAAAGAAAAGACATCTGGATATGTTTGTTCCCCCTCCCCCTCCGCTCCCGTCCCCTCAACACACACGCAACAGCTGTAAGAGCAAGGAGAGCATGTTTTTAAAATTCCATTGGTTCATGTAGGCACATAATCTGAAGCAGCTCCAAAATGGACATCAAGTAAAAAATACCAGTTTTCAAAAGTCTGTAATTAGGTATTTACACAAATTACATAATCCTGTATGTATTTACATACAATTACAGATTATCAAGTAAATGACACAATGCTGTAGTGTTGATGAGATGAAATAGAAGGAAAAACACCATAAACTAAAAGCCATCCGTTTATCTACAGAACAGGACCTGGCAGGGACGGGTTCCCCAACACTGACCTGGCCCGCCCTTCACAGTGCCTGGGGACATTCACATGACAGATGGGAGGGAGGTGCAGTCCATGCCTGTTAAGTCTCTGACCCAAGGTGCAAGTGTTGGCACCAACGCGGTGGTGGTTTGGCTATCTGAGCATCTGTTTGCGAAAACCGGAACCGCCCACTAACAGTGGCTCGGAGCTGCCCTCCACTGGGCTGTGGGTCTCCTCCGACCCGAACAGAACCGGATGCAAACCCACTCGCTCTGAAGCCCCGACAGGATGATGCTGAAACCCTGAGCCATCTACTCTCCGGGACACTTATTTACATCAATTGCATGTCAATATTTATTTATTTACAGACCATTACAGTTTATTGTATCCATTGCCAAAAGCATGTAACATTTTTTTCTTTAAAAAAGAAAAAAGAAAAAAAGAAAAAGGTACCCAAACAAAATGACTCCAAAAGTAGACGTTAAAGTAGCATTTCCTAGGAATGCATGGAGATTTTAGTCTTTTTCACAAATTCGTTGCTTTCTTTTAGGCCGATTTTCTAGCATCTCGTGCTACTTTAAGATTACTTTTGGCTACCTCATACCTCCTAAACTCAGTTTCTTCAGTGCTAAGTGTTGTACCTCTGACATCCTAGAAACTCATTCTTCCCCGTGGTCAGATGTTAGTTTGATGTTTTCGGCCAAAAAATATTAAACACCTTTTGGAAAAAACGAAAGCCTGAATATGTGTACATTTTAGCAGCAGCAAAAGGTTAAGTAATAAATAAGAACACTACATCTGGGAATTAAATGCAGTTTCTGTTTAGAAAGGAAAAAAAAAAAAAGAAAAAAAGAAAAAAACCCGAAGAGGACATTCTGAGTTTATCATAAATCAACTATTTTACACTGCTTCTGTCCCCTCCCCCCCAAATATTTCTTAATTCCAAACGTTAGGCTTAGTTTTTCCTTAATATACATCAGCAGGAGAGTCCGGGTAAACACTCGGGTTTGGACCAGAGAAGGGTCACGTGTGCTCACGGCGGTAAGTCATGCACTTCTGCTTCAAAACAGCTTTAACTCAACAGTGACATACTTTTATTTTTCATAAAGAATGTGCATCCGAGCAAAACAAAGTTGGAATATGAAATTAGTTACATAAATCCCAACACATTTTTTAACTGTCACTTTCAATTTCCCAACATAACCGGCTAGCAAGTGCTATGTGTAGTATGAGGATTTGTTATAAATTCCTTGTTCTTAAATATTGCTTGAAGAACTTGGCTCTTTTCTCCTTAGTATATAGTAAGAAATAGTCTTCCTTGCCCAAGGGCAAGTTCCAAAATTATTGCTACTAAAGAAATATGTATTCTTACGCTTTTCAGCATAAAATGTTATAAAAGCCTTGTAAAAGATATTCTATATAGTAACCTCCCCTCTAAAAAAATTGAGCGCTTGTGAAGACCATTTTAAAAAACAAAACACAGTCAACAAGTAAAATATTTTCCCCCTCATTGTCGTTATTGATGAAGATTTATTAGTTTCGTTTTGCAAGTTTTACTTGAAGGGTACTATTCCCATGTATTATGACGGTTCACACCGAAAGCAATTTTCTACAAAAGATCTGACAATGACCCCCATGATACTTGTCTAATTTCATTTTTGATAGCCAAGTCCACACATAAAATTCTCCAAGAATGATCCTTGTTTAATCTGACTCTTGTCCCTTAAAAAAAAACAAAAAATCTGTTCTGTGTAAGCTTTTTTTTTTTTTCCCTCCGTTTTGAGGCTCTAAATCAGTACAATGTTTGATGTTAGTCCTGTCGTCCTGGAGATCAACTAAAATAAAAGCATGGTTATTGTTTTGCTTTGGTATAGACTGCAACAGATTTCAACACGTAGCATAGATACCAACCCTTATACCTTCCGTGAACTTACAATGATGGAATAAGTCACTTATGAGAGAGGAAATATTACACACACAGAATAAAAGTTTGAGACCCAGTTTTTCTTTAATCCTCTGGGATAAGCTATGAAACAAGCAGTCTGAAGAGTGAATACTCGGTGTCATGAATGATGTGCATAAGTTTACAATAATACGGGCACAAAAGAGATTGTCGCCTTTAGTACATTAGGGTCATTAGGATTTCTCACATCCATGCGCCGTTATATTTACTTGCATGAATTAACCACAGGTTCGTAGCGGACTTTGCCATTTAACGCTTACAGAGCCTAAAGCTTCCAAAATGCCTATCTGGCCTGTACATATTTCATTAAAAATAAACTCTATATAATAAATAAATATATAAAATAAATAAAATGTTGCCTTTGGAATTTCTATAAATAAATTTAACTTTTTTTTCCATTTTTTTTTTTTTGTTTTGTTTTGTTTTTTTGTTTGTTTTGTTTTTTAACTAAGAGGTCTTTGCTTTAAATTCACTGGGCTGGCCCCAGTGAGCATTAACTGAAAAAGTCTTTGACGTCAGACTGCACCCTCCATGCCTCTGAAAATGCAGTGTGCCCTTGCGCAGGCCACCGGCCAAAATCCTGATGAGTCGAAGTATGGGAGCTGTGCTGATACGGGATGAAGGACAACTGATCAAAAATGGAAAAGCGCGTCTAAATCCCAGCATGCATCAGGCCGTTGACCTCTGCTTCTCTCTTCCCCCTCCCCCGCTACTCATCCACACACACACTCACAACCCCGCTCAGTCTCCCTCTCCTCGTCTCACAAGAAATCAAGCAACTGGGCAGCGGCGGGCCTCCGGGAGGGCCAGCCTGTAAGTGCAGGACAAAATCAGCGTACGCCCCTCCGAGCCTCCGACCTACGTTATGCATGCGGCAAAGTTTGGCAACAGTGGAACTGGTGTGATGACCCAGCTAATCGAGAAGAACCCACCGCGGGAAACCTTTATAGTGGTTACTTTTTTTTTTTTTTTTTAAGGGCTCAAGTGAAGAAATTGTCTTTGTCAACTTTGGCTTAGAATATCCTTATATAGTTCGGGTACTTTGTCAGGGTCCACTGGTCTGGGTAAAAAATGTGTGAACTTCTGGTGCCGTTTAGTCCTGGTTCCTTCTCTTGGGGTCCCGTCTTTATTTAATGCAACATAGTATCGCCTTCCAGTGTCCACGTGTTTATATAGATTCGAAGAGTAGGTATTGTACCAGTTTTCTTCAAACTGTTCTCTGAACACACACTCTTGGGTTAGTTTCTCCTGTGAAAACAAACAAACAAACAAACAAATCAATATTTTTGCAGAATAGCTACTTTCTGTATTTGAAACGATGCCCAATTGCTATGCAGTATATCTGAGGAGAAAACTACTGATTTTAACCCACTGGAGCCATGGTGATGCATTTTGCAAAGAGTGCCTCACGTCAACTACATTCTAACTGTGTTTTATACTGACTAAAGTGTAAAAGATTCCAAATGTTTTCTCGGTAGATGTTTTCATACGCCAATTATTTCAATGAGTCAAACAGACAAAGGACAACCAATGCTGTGAGTTGTCCCCATTTTTATTACAGCAATTAGGATGGTGACCATCACAGCAGAAAGATACTTAGCTGAAGCCAAAAGTTCAGATAACTGCTTCATCTCTACTCTGTGGTTTATAAAGTGCTTGCCCTGTAGAACAACATTCTCGTTTCTTTGTGACTCTGTAAAAACGCTTTCAAACTTCAGGCTTACAGGCGAATCACCTGGGATGCTTCTTTAAAATGCAAATTTCTTATCCCCAATCTTTTAAAATTCGTATTCAGAAAGTCTGGAAATATGCATTTTTAACAGGCCCTTCTGGGGAATTCTGATGCAGTTAATCCCTAGTCCACGATTTAAGACCAAATGCTTTCTATGTGACTTGAGTCTTCCTGGATACAAAGGAAGTGAAAACAAATGGTGAAGCCCTCCTACCTTCTTGAACTTAGAACCCCCCCCAACACCCAATTTAAAAAGCCACGTTCTCAGGCACACAGCTACCAAGAGAAAAGCTGACTTATTCCTATACTCCCAAAGCGAAAAGGTGCCACATTTTCACAAATGGATTACACCTCTCGCTCCACCTGAGATTTACGAAACTCTAGGTCCCAATTAAGCCCACAACCCAGGGCTCCTGCAGGCCCGCCATGCGTCTCGTGGGCAGTGGTCATGACCAGAAACAAGGTACGTGTCACCTCCCAAAACCATGAGCATACCCCAGTCACGAAAGCTGTGCCCTGGAGAAACGAGGCAACGGGACAGAATGGCCTCTCTGTTCTTCTCGCTGCTTGACTGCAAATTTCCAAACTAATACCTTCCTAGACGCTATTTCAGCAAAATAGACACGAAATGATCTTTCAAATTATTCCCCTTGCTCTCGCCCATCTGGCTTCTCACGCAAGTCAGAAAACAGACCAACAAACACGTGTCCATCACTACAGATGGAGGCGCCTGCCGTTCTTCCATTCCCAACATTCGGACCCGAGGGCCGCGAACCCGACACCACCAAAGTACAGGTGCCCTTTTCCATACGCACACGCCAACATCTCCTTGCTGTGGAGTAAGTCAGGGGCACAGAGGAAGGGAGAGAATGTGACCAAGGCAACAGGCCAGGGGAAGGCCGGCTCCCCCACTTCCTGAACGAACCCCCTCGGAAGCACACAGGGCCTGCACCTGGACAGGCACTCTTCCAGGCACCAAAAGGGTCTGTGACACAATGTCACGTCACTGCACAAGTCTTGGCTACATCAAACAGGGAGACGCAAAAGAGAAAAAATGTTGCATCTGTCAAGGATGGAAATGATGGGGAAACTCTGGAACACTGAAGCTGCATTGACTGGGACACAGTGAACCGCGGGGAGGAAGAAGTGATCTGTGGCTCCCCCCACACTGGATTACCCCACTGGGGTCCCAGGAGAGGCTGTCCCCCCAGAGGCAGCCCTTCAGTTCAGTCTAAGCAGAAACCCAGAGGCGCTTTCTCCTGAGAAAACACCAGCAACCCCGTATCCTCCTCTGCGCTTCTCCACAGGCCGCAGGACCAGGCCGTGTGAGCTTTCTTTCATCTCTATGAAGACTGACGAAATAAAAGTGGTGTGTTAAAGACATTACCAGCTATTTTAGGCATTACTTCCATCTGTATAATAAATATTCTCCTCACAGACAAGATTATTACTGGCTAAAAATGTCTGGTTTGGGTTTGCTGTGATTAAGTAAATTTTCTAAACAAATCACGGTGGGGTGGTTTGGGGTTTTTCTTCGTTTTTTTTCCCTCTTACTTAATAAAATGGACCAGAGTATGGAACTGTATACTGAACTTTCAGTTCTACCAAAAAAAACACAAAAAACAAACAACATGAAAAGCAAATTCAAATTAAGTTTTCTTTCCTCAGGAAATCATATCACCTGACAGACAAAATAGAACACTCCTTCCGCCCTTTGGAACCATGAGTCACCCACGACTTGGTGTTGGCTCCGCAGACCTACCGCACCCACAGTGCAACGGCTTTAGTGGGTCAGAGACGCACACGCTCCACCTCAGCGGAAGGCGGCGAAGGGCGCGGCTGCGGAGCCGGAAGCCCGCCGGTGCGGAGCCGGAAGCCCGCGCAGACGCCGGCTCCAGCCTTCACTGGCGGGGGCACATGTACAACTACTGTAAGTCTCGGTAACTTCATGTTTAGACGGGTCGGTAGCAAGTATCTGGAGACACAAACCCAGCCCCAGAACGTGGGTGGCAGAGAGGAGGCCCTCCGGAAACAATGGCGGTCGCTGACCCCACGTTCCCCTCACCGCCCCTTCCTCCTGGGAGAACTCTAGGGGGCAGCGAATACAACTTGTCCCCTTAAACACGTGGGACAGGGAGGCCCGGATGTGAAATGACTTCTTCCGCCTTCGAGGCCACAGGTCTCCTCATGGTAAGGAAGCCCCTGCTGGAAGTTTCCAGAGCCCTGCAAGAGGCGCTGCACTCTGGAGGCCAGAGCCTTCCTTTTTTTTTTTTTTTTTTTCTTTTCACTAATCAGAGTGATTCCTCCAGACCCCCTCCCCTAGGGAGGCTTTTTTTTTTTTTTTTTTTAATGTCTATTCTTGAGAGAGAGAGTGTGTGTGAGCGGGGGAGGGGAGAGAGAGAGAGGGAGACAGAATCTGAGGCAGCTCCAGGCTCTGAGCTGTCAGCACAGAGCCCGATGCGGGGCTTGAACCGACGAACCGTGAGATCAGTGACCTGAGCCGAAGTCGGAGCCTAACTACTGGGCCACACATGCCCAGGGAGGCTTCTGATGCTGTTCCCAGAGGGTCAGGCATTAGGGACGGCCCCCCAGGGGAAAGGCTAGTGCTCCCGGCCCAGGCTCAGGAATTACATGCGGCAACTGTGACTGTAAGACTCACATAGGCTTCCTTTCTTCTCTATCTTCATGAAAATATACTTTATAGAAGACACTATTTGCCTTGCAGCAGGAATGCATGGAGATGAAAAGAAAACAGAGATCATGAACAAAATTCCACAGTGGTAGGGACATTGCAGTCTAGCAATGGGACACATTTGTTTTCGGTATTTACAAAAAGACTCTTATTCTACATCTTTTGAGAGGGGCTTTTTTAGCATATGGAAAAATTTTTTTAATTTAAAAAAATTTTTTTAATGTTTATTTATTTTTGAGAGAGACAGAGCATGAATGGGGGAAGAGCTGAGGGAAAGGGAGACACAGAATCTGAAGACAGGCTCCAGGCTCCAAACTGTCAGCACAGAGCCCAGCTGGGACTTGAACTCACAAACTGTGAGATCATGACCTGAGCTGAAGTCAGACCCTTAACCAACTGAGCCACCCAGGCGCCCTGAAAAACGCTTCTGAAAAACACTTCTCAAAAACAAATGAATAAGCTAAGAAACTGAACTAGCTTCTTCAGTGCTCAGAAAACACTGCTCTGTTTCCCCCCCGCAGGCTATTATAGCACTGTTTATACATACATAATATGACCTTCTAGGCAACCCAGAAAATAAAGTGAATAATAATTCACAGTATCATCTATAGCCAGCATTTTTTGTGATGGTTGAGAGTTCCGTTGCCTCCCCTAGGGAAGGGCTGCGCGACTTCGGTTAACAAGTTAAATGAGGTTGTGCAGACATTACGTTGCAAAACCACTGATACCTTTCAGCTCCTGTAATTGTTACACACTTAGCATAATGCCACTCAGATAAACTGAAATACCTTAAAAATTAAAACGATCTTTAAGAATTAAAGACCTCGTTACTTTTTTTATACCGTATGTGTGCTTTTAAATTTCTTCCTCTTATTCGGGATTACATTAACATGTGACCTCTGTTTGGGCAGATAAGATAGCAAACTTTACAGAATTATTCTCATTATGCTCACCCTTTAGAACTCTGTGACAAAGTAGTTAGCTAAGGTGACGATACCTACGTATTTGTACTCCACAGTGATTTTCCTAAATTAAAAATAAGCAAACGACTGCAAATTAGGACAGCAAAAATATACTAACCTGTATTCTCCTATATATGCAAAGGAGAAAAAAAAGTTCCTGCCTTCAACTCAACTGTACACTTTAGAATTATAGAAGTCAGATGTTTTAAAACTCACCACATGTTTCCAATGCAGACAGTTTATAGAGTATTCCACTATAAAGTGATCAATTCTTGTTTTATTGTATTTCCATGTTTTAATTTTTTTTTAGATTATTTAACTGTAGCTGTTTATGGCATACCTATCTTTGAACTGTTGGATTATATCACTAGGCTTGGGTGGAGAATGTGGATTTAATTCAAAAGTCTACTAAAGCTCATGCTTTGGAACAAAATCTGGTGAATGTTAGCAACTATGGAAACCTCTTTTCGTTTTATATCATCAAATTCTAAGCAGTGGGAAAAACTGAAATTAAAACTTCAAAACTTTTACGAATCCCATTAAAACCAAAGACTGAGATAATAATGTGAAAATTACAGCACACCCTAGAGAATGTTCAGGAACGCTGTAAGACATAAACTCATAGAGACACCACTTTAAAATATTAGACAATTGGAAAATGTGTAATCCACATGGGAATTATTATGCCCAATTCATATCTATGCCCATTTAAAAACTGAAATCAGAATTTTTCAAAAGTTGAGGCTCAGTTGTTCTCAAGGAAAACATATAGCATATGATGCTGCCATTCTAAAACATGATTTCCATATTTGTATATATAAATATATAATATGGATTATATATATGTGTGATACATACATAC